GAAATACCATACATGAACAAAGAAGATAAAAAAAAATTCTAAACACCCCAATTAAAATCAGTGAAATTGAAAATGTAATTAAATTTTTACCAACAAAGAAAATCCCAGGTCATGATGGCTTCACTACTCAAATCTAAAAAAACATTTAGAGAAGAACTATTGCCACTACTCCTTAAACTTTTCAATGAAGTTGAAAGGGAAGAATACTTCAAATTCATTCATGGAAGCAAATGTTACTTTGATTCCAAAACCAGGGAAAGACCCAACCAAAACAGAGAACTATAAGCCAATCTCCCTGATGAACATAGATACAAAAATCTTCAGTATGATACTAGCAAACAGAATACAGAGTGTCACCAAGAAGATCATACACCTTGACCAAGTCGGATTTATTCCAGGGACACAAGGATGATTCAACATGTGTAAATAAATAAATGTAATACATTATATTAACAGAGTCAAAAACAAAAACCATACGATCATCTCAATAGATGCAGAAAGAGCATTCAACAAAATTCAACACCCATTCATGATTTTAAAAAAACTTGCAGGAAATTGGAATAGATGGTATTTATCTCAACTTAATAAAGACTATCTATGAAAAACCAACAGCCAACACCATACTAAATGGTCAAAATTGACAATGTGAAATAGGAAAAAAAGGCTAAAGGAGTAGGGGAAGTGGGAAGGGTAGGGGAAAGGAAATAAGGGAAAAGAAAAAAATGAAAAATGGAAACAAACTTTTTGTAAATAGGAAGGGTGGAGTGGGTGAAGGGAGGGTAGTGGTATGGGGAAAAATGAGAAAAAATGAGAAGATGCATCATGTAAAGGTACAAGATCCCAATGATGAATGTAACTGTACTGTATACCTAAAAAGTACCAATAAACTAAATGAGAAAAAAAAACTGAAAACCTTCCTGCTAAAATCAGGAGCAAGACAAGGATGTCCACTGTTACCACTCCTGATCAATATAGTTCTAGAAACATTAGCCACAGTGATTCTAAAAGAGAAAGAAATAAAAGCAATAAAGATAGGAAAGGAAGAAGTTAAACTGTCGTTATTTGCTGAGGATATGATATTCTACATAGAAGATCCAAAAAGCTCTGCCAAAAGACTTCCAGACTTAATTGACAAATTCAATATAGTAGCTGGATACAAGGTCAACATTCAAAACTCAATAGCCTTCTCATACACAAATAACAGACTCACTGAGAAATTAGGGAAACAATTCTTTTCACGATAGCATCCAAAATATGAAATAACTAGGAATCAATCTAATGAAAGAAGCAAAAGTCCTCTACACTGAAAACTACAGCCCTCTGAAAAAAGAGATTGAGTAGGATATAAGAAAATAGAAAGACATTCCTTGTTCCTGGGTAGGAAGAATGAACATAGTGAAAATAGGCATACTTCCAAAATTGCTACACAGATTCAATTCAATCCTGACTGAAATTCCAACAGTATATTTCACTGAACTAGAGAAAACAATCCAAAAGTTCATTTGGAACCAGAATAGTAAAAGCTATTCTAGGCAACAGAGACATGGCAGATAGTATCACAATGCCCACCTTGAAACTATACTATAAACCCATTGTAACAAAAACAGCATGGTACTGGCAAAGAAAAAGACCCATGTGTCAGTGGAATAGATTGGAAGATACAGAAACAACTCCAGATGTACTCAGCTACCTCATCTTTGAAAAAAAGAGCCAAAATCCTCACTGGAGGAAAGACAACCTCTTCAATGCATGGTGATGGAAAAACTGGATCAACCTACCAAAGATTAAAACTAGACCCTTATCTTTCACCATGCACTAAACTAAAATTGAGGTGAATTAAGATCTAAATATTAAAACAGGAGCACTAAACTTGCTGGAAGATAAGCTAGGTAGAACTTTCTAAGACATTGGCATAGGAAAATACTTTATGAGCAAATCCTCAGTTGCCCGTGAACTAGCACAAAGAATCAACAACTGGGATCTCATCTTATTAAAAAGTTTCTGCATTGCAAGAGAAATCACCAGCAGAACTAAGAGACAATTTACAACATGGAAAAAGATTTTTACCAGCTGTTCCTCAGACAAAGGTCTACTATCTAGATTATATAAAGAACTCAAAAAAATCAGATCCCCCCTCATAGATAAAGACCCAATTCAAAAATGGTCATCTGAAATGAACAGACACTTCTCAGATGAACAAGTAAAAGTAGTAAATAAATATATTAAATTATTTACCCATATCTAATTCAGTTATATTTCTTTTTCATTACTGAGTAGTCACAGTTCTTTAAATATTCTAGATATGAATATTTAGCAAGTAGATATAGCATTTGCAAACATTTTCCCCAGTATACAGTTTGTCTTTTCACTTCTTATAGTTCCATTTGAAGTAAAAAAGTATTTTTAGTTCGATGGGACCTATTTATTTCTTTGTCTTGCATTATTGGAGCTCTTTTTGTCATATGTGAGAAAGCATTCATTGCTTAAGTCAGGGGTCTGAAAATGAACACCAAATTTTCTTCTAATTCTTTTATACTTTTAGGTCTTCATTCCATTTCGGGTTAATGTTCATTTTGGTTGTTCTGTGTTTAACTGATGACCTTTTTGTGTCTTATGACAAATTTTTAAGTTCAAGTCTGTTTTATCTGATACAAGTATAGTGAACCCTGTTCTCTTTTGAATAACAGACTCTGTGTGTCCAGGAATGTGAAGTGTCTCCTGTAGACAGTCTAGAAATGGATCAAGATATTTTATGTATTTGGTAATTATCAGCCATGACTTGGTAATATGGGGGAGTACTAAGCTTTACTTGCTCCATTTATTATTTGGGTATCCACTGCAGTGTTTTACTTTCTGTTTATCATGAGGTTTATATAATATGTCTTATAATCAACCACTGTACATTGGTAAAACTTAAAAATTTTCACATACAGACTTTAGAATTTTACCATCATTCTGATGGCTTATATTTTTGATGTCACAATTTACATATTTTTGTGTATACTTCTGTATCTTTTCTGTAACTTTAATTATTTTGGTTCTTTAAACCTTTAAGCTTCACAGTAGTGATACAAATGGTTTATATAACAGAGTGCTGGTTTATTTTGAATTTGACTATGTAGTTAATTCTACTACATTTAACATCTTTTAAATTTTTATTTTTTGCTCATACATGTTTGTGTACCTGTTACAGTTACTCTAGTGGTCATGAGTTCTTAAATTTCAATTTTTGCTTGCCTGGGAAAACCTAGATTTTTCCTTAAATTCTGAAGTACAGATTTGCTCTGCAGCTGTTCTCTTTCTGTCGGCGCTTTGAATTTTTTCCCCCATTTGATTTGTTTTGCATATGTTTGTGCGTATTTTCTTCTGTCCCCGACTCCTCTTCCCCTCAGTGTGAACTCTTGGCAGAGAGGCTGTCCTGTCTTCTTGTGTCCTGTCCCACAGGGAGCGACAGTGGTGTGTGATCAGGCACACACATTCAGAGCTGTGATGAGACTTGAGCCCTGGGTTTCAGGTTTTGCAGAACTGCTGTGGTGCTGGGACTTTTACTGCCTTTCTTTCTTTCGGTTTTTTTTTTTTTTTTTTTTATTTGG